CTTTTTAACCTTTACAAGAAGTAATGCGAAATTACCAATCTAACTTCTTTTTACTTCTACATGATTTCTCAAGTAACACGATAGTATTTGTCCAGTGTCGAATTGAACTTTCTGTTCAAAAGTTATAGTCTGTCAAACGATCGGCTTTGGGGTATTTATTTTTACTTACGCATTTTATAATTAATAAAGTTCTTGCGAAGCATGATTTGTTGTTACAGCACATGCTCTAAAATGTATTTCGTGATTTTTTTTTTGATTTTTTTTAGTAATTTTCATCGTAACTAACACGTTTCAAATTGTTTTAATTAGATTTCCGTAAATTTTGTCCTTTCTAATGATATTTGCTTAAATGCAATGACTATTGAAGTAAGTGTAATTCTTTCATTTTACATTCAATGGGATTTCCTTTATTAGAGGGCGAATGAAATTACACACAGATTCATGCTAATGTGCTATTTTTTCCTTAGTAATATATCGGTTTACTGTAAGGTCGGGCCTTGATAAGTGCAGTGCAATCTAAGGGACGATTAAAAAAAAAAAAAAATACTTTTTTTACTTTAAGGTAAGGGTTAATAAAGACTTTAACAACTTGGGCCTTGGGCAAATAGGGCTTGTGCTTAAGGGATATGTGCTTAGAGGAGTATGGTCTATAATAAAAAAATTGTTGCACTCAGGAAGGTTAAACCAATAAGTAGTTTTATAATTGAACTTCGTTAGGAGTATGACCATATACCATATATTAACCTTTTCACTCATGCTAAGGGTTATACATTTAGGAGTATGATTATATATCGATTTTTCTCCTTCGATTTAGAAGTATAATTATATATTAATTCTCTTATTAAATGGTCTATAATAAAAAAAAATCGGTGTACTCAGGTAATTATTTATTTATAATTGAACTTCGTTAGGAGTATGACCTTATATCATATATTAACTTTTTCACTCGCGCTAGGGATTATGCATTTAGGAGTATGAATTTGTCTCTTACAGTCTGGAAGTATGATTATATATTAATTCTCTCATTAAATGGCCCATAATAAAAAATCGTCGCACTCAAGAAGATTAAACCAATAAGTGGTTTTATTAGTTTGAGCTAAGTAATTATTTATAATTGAACTTCGTTAGGAGTATGACCATATACTATATATTAACCTTTTTACTCGCGCTAAGGGTTATACATTTAGGAGTATGATTATATATCGATTTTTTTCTTTCGATTTAGGAGTATAATTATGTATTAATTCTCTTATTAAATGGTCTATAATAAAAAAAAAATCGATGCACTCAGGTAATTATTTATTTATAATTGAACTTCGTTAGGAGTATGACCTTATATCATATATTAACTTTTTTACTTGCGCTAGGGATTATGCATTTAGGAGTATGAATTTTTTCTTTCGGTCTGGAAGTATGATTATATATTAATTCTTCATTAAATGGTCTATAATAAAAAAATCGTTGCACTCAAGAAGATTAAACCAATAAGTGGTTTTATTAGTTTGAGCTAAGTAATTATTTATAATTGAACTTCGTTAGGAGTATGACTATATATCATATATTAACTTTTTCAATCGCGCTAGGGATTATGCATTTAGAGTACGATTATATCAAATTTTCATTTTCGATCTAGAATATGTATTTAGGAGTATAATCATATGTATATTCTCACTTTGCTAGGAATTGCATATTTAGAAGTTTAGAAGTATAATAATAGATTAGTTTTTCATTAAATGTATATTTAATAAATAATTTTTCGAAGTTGTATTTTTTTTTATTTAATCAATAAAAAATAATCGTTATAAAAATGATCGTTTTCCACTTCAAGTTTTATCAAAAAAAAAAAAAAATTTGTCCAATAATGCTTAATCCTAATAGAAAAAAAAGAAAACCTAATAAAAAAAAGGCTCAATCGACCTCATCCGTTGATTCTAGTAACTTATCAACTTCAAGAGCAAATGCTACTTTTACGCGACACTTTTACCAGGACGATGAAACTGACAACACAATTATATATTGTAAGCTTTGTACTCAAGAGTTAGAAGACTTGGACGCTTCTCCATATCCATATAGTAAATCAGGAAAAAGTACAGGACATTTAATACAGCATTTACGTGATAAGCATCATATAACTTCAAAGAATTATAGACAATACCTCGATGATGATGAACAAGTAAAAAATTGTTAATCATTATAAAAATAATTAAATTTCAAACAAGGTCTTTAACTTTTTTATTTTTATTTTTTTAATAGCCCATGGCAGTAGCAGTAATCAACCAGGATCTAGAATCGATGGACATAGACTTACCTTCCCTTTCATCTAAACAGCAACGAGAATTAACAAAGCTTGTGGTAGAGTTCATCGTATATGATGTTCAACCATTATATATATTAAAATGCCCATCTTTTCGAAAACTTCTAAATGGTTTTAGATCACAATATCAAATACCATGCGCGAATACCATAAAAAAATATATTTCTGAAGCCTATTCGTGGGGTACTGACCAGCTTAAGAAATCGTTATTAGGTGTCAATACTGTTAATTTAACAACTGATCTATGGACCGCAAAGAGTAACCATGGTTATCTTGGTATTACAGTAACATGGTTAACATCTGACTTTAAGCTTCAGGAGGCGCTACTTTCAAACCATCATATGCCACATCCTCATACAGGTCAAGATATTTGTGAGGAGTTGTTTTTCATAATAAATAAATGGGAGTTAGTAAATAAAATACATAATATTGTAACGGATAACGGTTCAAACATGGTAAAAGGTGTTGAGTTATTAAAAGAAAATTACTTGCCTAATATTAATTGGCAATCATGTGTTGCGCATACTCTTCAGCTTACAGTAAAAGAAGGTTTAAAACAAATTAAACCAATTCATAAACGACTCAAAAGCCTTCAGACATTTTTTAAACTTCCTAAGCAAGCACAACGATTGCATAATATGCAAATACAAATGCAATCGGATCCATTAGATATTATCCAAAGTGATGCTGAAGACGAAATTGTAAATCCACTTGAGGTTTTAACTGACTGTAAAACCCGGTGGAATTCCACTTACTTGGCTTGGAAGCGAATTTTGTTATTGCACCCAGCAATGCTTATGCTTGCGACAACATTAAGAAATAAGTCGAATGCTTTATCTAAACGAGAAGGCGAAAAACTTTTTAAATTATGCTTAACTACAGAAGAACAAGAGTACGTATAGTTAGATTATCATTATAAATTAATTTTTCAATCACGTGTTTTTAGCATAATCTAAAAATTGTTACTCGAGTTAACAACTGAATTTAATATTAAACTGGGTTTATAGAAATAATATTTTACAATCAAACCTATTAAAATTAAATTCAATTCAGTTTTGAATTCCTACTCGAATTAACATATGTTTTTTGATTATACTTAGGGTTTTATATTTTGTATTAATATATATTTTTTTTAACAAGATTTGTAGGGCAAATGGTTAACCTTTTAAAACCGTTTGAAGAGGTTACAAGATACGTTTGTGGATCAAAGTATCCTACTCTAAATCTCGTATATCCTTATATACGAACTTTAAAAAGTAAATTTGCTCCAAAAAGTGAAAATGGAGAATCGTTTGAATCTTGGATTAATCTTATTTATGGTCCAGAAGATCAAGATTCTAATGATTCAAGTATTAGTAGTGATAATGAAGCTGATATACCATCAGCAGGAAATCGGCGACAATGGCAATATGCACATCAACGTTCACATCGATGTGCATATCGTGTTGGTAATAAAAAACATAAAAATAAAAAAAGAAAAATTCTTACAGAGCTGGAGGATTCTAATACTGTAGAGTATTTATCAAATGTAAACTGTTCTGGGCTTTTAGAGAAAGCAAGAGCTGCAATTTTTTTATCACTTGATGAGTTATGGGATAAATCCAATGAAATGGGTTTAAAAGCTTCTATCTTAGATCCACGCGCACTAAAATTGCTTTCATTTGCCACAGTTCAAGAGCGAGAAGATACAGAAGCCCAAATCCGTACAGAATTATCACTATTAAAATCTCAATTAACTAATTCAAATAATAATGAAGAGATAGAAAAAAATTCAGTAAATATAAATGAAGACCCCCAAGATTCTTTAAGTGCAGAATTATGGGGGTCATTTCCAATATCTGATCAAGCCACCACTGAAGATGAATTCACGCGATACATGAAAGAGCAGATAGCTCATAAAAATCAGAATCCTTTAACATGGTGGGAAAATAGACGTGTAAGCTTTCCACTACTTAGTCAACTTGCACGCAAATATTTATCCATCCCCGCCACTTCAGTTCCATCAGAACGGTTATTTTCTGATGCAAATAATCATATATCGGCCAGAAGAACTCGCCTTGACCCCAATTTAGTAGATAGAATGTTATTTTTAAAAAGAAATTCACATTTGCATTCGTTGTTTCCACCTAATCCTTAATTTTTTATTGACTTAAACCAATTTTAACATAAATTTAATATTAATATTACATAAAAATTAAACGCTTCACCTGCTTGTAATAACTATTTATCATTCACAAGAATATAATTCCCAAAATTTTTTTTTCATATAGCTTTAGCATAGAATCGTCTCTTTAATAACATTACTAATCTTTCACTATTCTAATACGATCTGTAATGTTTTTAATTTGAATATTAAATCTGTTAAAATTAGTGATTTACGCATTAATAGCTTCCATACAATAATTCAAGAGAATGCTTACCACCATGCTTATTGCATCGTTATAAAAAGGCAGTTCAATTACCGGTACTATATTGGGCCTATGACTGTTAAAAATATGTTACCCATACTCTATAATATGTACTTAGTTTCAAAGTAATACCTGCGACCATTG